CTGATATCTTGATAAAACAGTGAAACATTAAATTTTTTATACAATACTTTTCAGGCTTGTGCTGGTGGAATCAAATGTGCCAAGCCACTTGAACACTTCCTGTAGAAGTATCTATAGAAGAGAGACAAATCTTCAACCTTTTTTCCATCCAGATTAATGCCAACAAATGTATATCATGGTGCAAAAATACAGGGTGTTTCATAACCACGGTACGAAAGTTCAGAGAGTGATTCAATGGATAGTTTTTAAAAAAAAAGTTCCTATGAACAGTTAGAAGAGATGAATGTTCCGAAATTTCAGTTCGAAATGGTAAATTGGTTAAGGCTTTCGGGGCCGAGATTTTCAGTGTTACTATCTTCATTCGGATTTGAAGGCCGATGTCATCGGTGAATTATCGAGATGAATAAACTCTGAAGAAGCCAGCCACTCGTGCTGACGAAACTTTAGGATGCAGTTCCAATAAATTACGACGGCCTTCAAACCCGAATGAAGATAGTATCACTTCGAAATATTCATTTTCTTGTAAATCTATTGTTCTCAATTAGCAATGAAATTTTTAGTAAGAAGGTTCAGGATGTGGAGTGTACTCCTCCTGCCGATATAAAGGAATGTCTCCCAGCGACCTGTCCACCTTCCTGGAAAGGACAGGACGGACCACAACCTAGGAGGACAACTCCTTGGGAGGATGTACAATGGGTCACATGTGGCCTAAGTGCGTGGGCTTACACTCACCCTCCCCACTCTACAGATACAGATAGCAATGAAATTGCTGACATGTATGGATTAGCTAATGGAAATGCAAAAGAAATGGGTAGAATACAGCAGGACGTATATCCTAATAGAGTAATTCCAAGTTCTAGAACATTTGAAAATCTAAAGTCAAGTTTATGTGAATCTGGAAGTTCTAAAAAAAATGCACGTGTTGGAATATCAGAAACTGTAACAACGCTTGAACTACAATAACTATACTTAATGCGATAAAAAATATAATTCAAATAGTACAAGAAAAATTACACTGCATCCCCAAAACCATCTGGAAATAAACCTTCGACACCCATATCACATTAATCGGGTACAAGCTCTACTGCTTCGAAATTTTCACCCAAAAGCAATATTTTGTAGCTGGTTGATTCATACGATGGCATACCATCACCAAATATTTTATTTACGGACAATCCCCACGCGGTTACAGAAAGTCAAGATGTAGCCGTTCTCGTAAGAGCCAGCATGTGGTGTAAGGAATACATTTCAGTGTTTTTGTTCGTCAGCATCTCGACCTCACCTATTCTAATCGCTGGAGTGGAAGTGCAGGACCTCAAAATTGGTCAGCTCACTGTCCTGATATGAATTCTGTAGATTTTCATTCAGGAAGTCAATTTATTTTTCATTTTTTGTTTTTATTTTATGTTTTCCATGCATAGTTTTTAGAATGAGTCAAAGTGAGTTTTATTTTTTTTTTTCTAAAACGAAACTAAATATACCTAAAGGAAACAGGAGACCAGAAAGTTGTATTTTCAGAAGCTTTATCTGAAAACTGCAGAAGACACGATAATGGCGTACTATTTTACCAGTGGCTACGGTGGCCACTGAGTCGCCACTGGGCAGAATAATCTCGATCTAGACACGGCTAAATGAGCTCCTCATATTTCGAATAACTGTACGGAATTTTACAATTCACTTTTTGTAGTTTTGTACCGTATTAAGGAAACACCCTACATTTAGTAGGGAAAATATGATCGGGTGTACCCCACCACAGTATTAATCCTGAAAATTACTGTGTAAACCTGTGACAGAAATATGTGAAAAGAGACTATTCGAGGTTAAACATTATTAAAACATATTTAAAAAATTCGATTGAATAATATCGGTTGGCAGCTCTTTTTATTCTCTCAAATGAAAATGCCGTATCTAATACGTTAGATCATAATGCTTTAATTTTAAGAAGTCTCCAAAGTACTTTTTGATTTCATTTCAAGTATATCTCTTGAAGCATGTATGTATATTACTTGCTGTATCATTGAAAATTTGCTGTTTTAATATTTTCATTTAGTTATGAATCTTCTTATAAGTATACAAGGGCCTCGGCCGCCAAGAGCCTCGCAATTTTAAAGCCGGCACTGATATCAAGCAAATAATAGTATTAAGTTTGGCTGTGCAAACATTTTATGATACCTCAGTTATATATTTTATTCTCTCCACGAATTAGATAGAAACAATGCAAAATATAGAATTTGTCTGCTGCTAGAACGTAAGGGCACATTTGTCTTTGAGAAAAATAAACTGACAAAGCTGATGTTTCATTTGAGTTGATGACTATTATAGTGAACTAAATGAAGACAAAATGCAGGTGTGTAAACATGTTTGAATTATAGATTTCAGAGGTACCCCTTTTCATGAGACTGCTGATTTTTTCTCTTTTAATAACACCGATCTTCTAGCACATAGGTATTTTATTTTTCCGTACTTTTCATCAAACTAGAGAACGGAAATAAAATATTGAACAATACAAAAAAATCTTTTTCCTTTTCAGTTTGTACTCCAAACATTCGTTATAATTCAATATGGAAATATCATGCTCATGATTGCTACACAATGTAGTATACGAAAGAAGTAAAATTACACTTGCATAGAACACTGTCATCCTCAATGGTGGATGTTTGATTCCGATGTTTCGGAATGAAATACTTGCCTTATTTCCTCTTCAGCACCAATCTGGATAACATTATAAGATTAAAGGCACTGAATTCATTGTTAAAATTACGACTCAATACAACCAATGAGTTGAATCTGCTCATGTCACCGATGACCATACGTAATGATATCCAATCGCTTATTTGATCCAATTCCAGTCATAAGAATGTTTCAATTCAAACTTTTAGAATAGTCTTATCATTTTTTATACAAAAAACCCCTTACGTCAGCCGAAACTTTTGTTTGAAAATAGGCAGTACTGGGGAGAAATCCTGTCAGTCATTGCGCGCGTATGGAAAAACCCCTGGAGTCAATAATAATACTGGTTTCAAGGTTACGTTCTCATTGAAGTCATATTTTCGATAAGAAGCTACATTTCCTTAGAGTGTGATCGTGATATAAGCCTAATTGAATAAAACTCATACAAATAGGTTCCAGAAAACTGACGGGAGGTTTTGAGGAATACTCGAATCAAACCCACTAAATTTGCTGCAGTTGACTGTGGAGGAGATGTGGTTTTTCAAAACTGAACTGATCACCTCTCGTCATTTTACCTAATTTCCTACCAGACCAATTCGAATGTTGAACATGTCAGCGACAAGAAGAGAACTTGTGTTATAAAAATATGTTTGGGATGTATACATCTTCAGCTCTTCAAATTTAAAAAAGGCGGAGTAAAAACTCTTAGAAGAAATACTCCTGATTAGCCACTGCAGAGTTTGTATAATGGAAAATATCCAACAAAAAAAGCAAAATATCACGATCTCCTTCATTTATCTCTTTTCTGGAAAAGTCCATAGACGAGGATTTTCTACAAAAATTTTTCGCAATGGAGAAAGTGACGGAACCAGTGATACCCCGAAATGATTCAAGAAGATTGTGGAAGTCTCAAATAGAAGATACTTTGGTTAGTGTGCTGAGACAATTAACCATATTGATATAAAAAGCAAGTGACATCGATTGAATATTAATAAGTTACCGATTTAATTTGATGTTTCTTTTTTTCCGACTGTACCCTTCATTTCTTGCATGATGAAAGCAATTGAATTGATTCCTAGAATAACTTGTGTTATTTCGTTATTGTACCTAATGCTAATTACCAATTTTCACTTGTTATCTACCTATAACTTTTATGTTGTTTGGAAATCAAAATATATTGGAAAACAAATGTATGAAATATGTCCCTTTTAACAAGGTATTCTTGTCCTCTCAATTTTTCAATCGCAATCCTAACATCTTATTTCGTAAATGACAAATTTTTTCTTATCCGTCATCCCGTGTTCGGGTAACCCAACACTTGCTGAAGCAGTTTTGAAAACTTTTCTGATATTGATTTATTTTATGTCTGAAAGATGCCCGATACTATCAGCTATTTCCTTCATACTTTTGTTTGTTTGGGGAAGTGTTAGTATCATTACGTAATTTAGACATCTTGCGTCAGAAGTCAAACCCTGAACTACCACCTAACCTGAAAAATCTAAATAAAAACAATCAGTTCTTTTGCAATATTACCCTCCCTGACAAAACACAATTTCAATCATCGCTTCTTCTGGTAATTGGTGCTCTGTATGTCGATTTTTGCAAAACCCTTATTATTATTCATTTCAATCAAGCTTTTATTATTGTGTTTATTGTTGTATTGGTTGATTTATCTTCTATTCTATACTTGTTATTATTATAGTTTTTTATTGTATATTTTCGTAAGGTTGATTTGAAAAACAGCTTATGCTGATAATCCGCCTGTTCATCTAATTTATTTTTGATGAATAAAGTCCATTTATTATTATTATTATTTCTATATACATCACATTTAAAACCCTCGACGTCGTTTCCTGTGGCAGATACAAGTCAATGGAAAGTAATTTAAATCTCTTTGTGCTTCCACTTCAAATTTAGTCATGAACAGATCAGCCATGAAAGGAGACAATGGAGCAATTCTGTTCCATGCAAATTGTGTAAGCTGGATGTTCTATTCGACTATTTCACCACACATTTCAGTATTCTTGATGTTCATTTCTAAAAATTCCTTCAGAAATTCGAATGTTTTTTATATAAGGCCACTTGTAAATAATGAAAATACATCAAACTGGGTTGCGAAATCGATAGAGTTTCGAATTATTTTCTTAGCCATTTGGCGGTCTTACGTAGAGGAACCTATAGCTGATATATTATTTGCACCGACTTATCTAGTTTGTAAATTTTTGCCTGACCCTGTAATATTTCGATCCTGTAGGATCAGTTAGATACTTTGAATTTACCTAACCCGTTTGTGATTAGAAAGAACATTTCAATTGATTTTGTTTTTACAGGTACGTCATGACGAACATTCCAGCAATGGGAAAACACAAACTGTTTTTGATCATTTTGGTATCCATGGCAATACTGTTAATGTTGGCTATGCACGTAACTAATTCTAATGATGTCAATATTCCTACCGAGTATCAGCATATCCATTTGAAACATATTAACAAAAATCTCGAAGAATTACAATCTGATCCAGACTACTCCAAACTAATAAACATAAGCTTTTCTTTCATGCATTTACCATTAGTTTGTAAAGACGAATCGCCACTCTTCATAGTTATAGTTCACACAGCTCCTGGTAATTTTGAAAAACGAAAAGTTATCAGACAAACTTGGGCAGATAAAGCAAACAAAGTCAAGGTATTGTTCGCGACAGGACTGGTAACTGATGAGAATGTCCAAAACAAAATCGAGGAAGAGTACGAAACCGAAGGAGACTTCCTACAAGGTAATTTCATCGATAGTTACCACAATCTAACCTATAAACATGTGATGTTATTGAAGTATATGGTTCACCACTGTCCCAACGTGCAATATCTCGTTAAATTGGATGACGATGTATTCGTCAACATGCCCAACTTGAAGACATTCCTGCATTTATATGACATAGAAAACAAAGATTCTGAAAAAATATTGTGTTCCAGAATGTATGGAAATCCTGTATTACGTGAAGGTAGGTGGGGTGTTCCTATCGAAGAGTATCCTGATTCATTTTACCCCTACCACTGTTCTGGCTTTGCCGTCATCTACCCAAGAGCTGCTATATTTAAGTTGAATTCCGAGGCCCAAAAAACTAACTATTTTTGGATAGACGACGTATTTGTGAGTGGAATTCTTGCCAAGGGAGCGAAAATCACCCATACGGGCATTGAAAATTTGATTTTGAGCAATAACGATGTTATTAACATCGTCGACAAACATTTTGTAAACATCACCAAACCTTTCCTGTTCGGCAGAATGAATTTGGATCCACATCAGATAAAGTCGTTATGGGATTTTGTTAGCCATCATACCCCCAAAGTCAGTATATTGGAATATCTTGGATGACCTATCACTTAGAAGGTGAGTATTTCATGAAAAAGAAACGATAAATAGATGAGTATTATTCCGATCATTCTCAATTTGATTTCAATTTAAGAGCCACCAGTAAACAGCTGTTTCAGCCTGTTGGGCATCATCTGTACCGGGTAGGCGGTCCTCGATTCAAGGCAAAATGTGAAGAACTAAGAAGAGTACTTGATAAAAATAACTGCGTAAACTCAAGCTAGACAAAAGTGTAACCACCTATTGGTGTGTGTGTGTGACATGCAATTTAGCTTGCCAAGTTTTCATGTCAGCGTTGGTAGTTTGACCACTCTTTTCAGCCGACAAGTGATTTAGCGGAACGTTGGAGCTGTTTCGACCCACCTGGTCGAATGGTGCTTCAGTGGTGCTAGGCTGAACCGCTCAGAAGGGACCAAGCCTGGAAGTGAAGGCGATGACATCTCCCCTAACGAAGACATCATCTATGAAATCGATATTGGGTCCAAGTATAACATCAGGACTTGCTTCAGATTTGGGAACACTATCCGTAGCAGCCTCACGAAAACCAGGCCACCAAACGCGGACTGCGATTCCAAGAATTGCATTTACCGGATACCCTGCAAGTGCGGAGAATCATACATCGGTGAAACTAAGAGGCCATTGAAAGTTCGCATTGCTGAGCACAAGAAACATACACAGCGAGGAGAAACGAGCAAATCCGGTATAGCAGAGCATGTTTGGACTCATCAACATAACATCAAGTGGGCTCAAGCTGAAATCATCCACAAAGAGGAACACTGGTTTGGGAGAAAATTCAAAGAAGACGCGTATATGTTGCCCAACAACGCATTTAGTCAAGCTAGCGTAGAGATACGTAACATATGGAAACCTCTTATCAAGCGAAAAAACGACCAACTCCCGCCAAACGGTCATCTCCCGCTAAAACCAATGAAGCGGGAAGAGGGCATAGGTGAAAGCACTCGAACGATTTATAAATAGTCAGATCTCGGAGGAATAAGTCCAGTTATCACCTGAAGACGATTGTGGATACTAACAATCGAAACGTCGTGACATAACTTGGTTTGAAATCTTTTTATTTTTTCAATTTTTGCTAATAATATTTTTAATTTTTTTTTCAGCTTTTATTTGTTTGGTTGTTGCTTGTATGTTATTTATTTGTAATTTCAGTTTTTTGTTCAATAAAATTGTTATTTTCGGTTAATCATTTTACATTTTTTCTCAGGGTTGTCAAATCAATTAATATTATATTAGACAATGGAAGTCCGAACTGATGAAATATACCACGAAACATTGTCAACCACCTTCAAACAAATGAACCAGCTTTGCTTTGCAACTAATCGTCTTGGGTAGCCTCGTTCATCTTTGATATTCGAAAATTGAGTCACCATATACGGGACACGAGAGAGACCCAAAAGGAACAGTTTTGCGATAGTTCAGTCCAGCCTAGCACCACCGATGAGATATGTCCGATTCACACAGCGCTGCCTGGTTTTGGATCATAAGATTATTTTGAAAAATATGCAAACATACAAATCAGTGCTATAGAGAAATGAGCTGATACTGACTCCATGCTGTACATGAAAATACCAATATTTTCTACTAATGTAAAACAGCATGAAGTAAAGGAACATAAAAGACACTAGACTTTTGGATGCTTTCAAAACGCTAGAAGAAGCACATTGCTCTTTCTTGTATAAACCAATTTCTCTGCCTAAACTTTTCTGATTACATGTTGAACATTCCTTTTATTAAAATTTGTGTTTTTGTTGATTCAATTTTTCGAAAAGCACGCCACTGAATCCACTCAAGTCTACTTATCCCACTTCTGCCACCGATATTAGTAATATGGGTTTTTATATACCTGTCGTCTGAAATTGTGCAAATAGTATTCAATCTCACCTTAATATCTAAGAGCAGTACTTCCTTTGTTTTGAAACAATATGTATAGTACCCAATGTATAAATCATGGAATAAATGAAAAATATGAAACACAAAGACGAATACATGTTTATGACAAAAAATATAGTCAAATGAAAGTCAAATTCCAAATCAACTTATCAAAGATGTTCAGATTATCTTCATTCAAAATCATTATCAGTGATAAAGGAACATTTCTGTGTGATTTTCTTTCTTGCGTTTTTCTCTTCGATGATAACGATTTCGTTGAAATTTCTGCTGAACCATTCATCATAACTTGATCATTACGTTGGTGGATTTGCACATCCTCTTCTCCTTCCCATTTGTTAGCTATATTTTCTATTTTGATAGATAGATAATTTTTTGGTGTTTTATACATTCATCAGTACTTACACAAGTCAATATGTACATATAATCAAAATTAGTATATGTCAGGCATCTATTAATATTTACATAAACAATAGATGCTTACAATTCATAGAACAAGTTTTTTTTATAAAAAATATTTACATAAACAATAGATGCTTACAATTCATAGAACAAGTTTTTTCTTTTTTTTATAAAACAAATTTATGAGAATGTTTTTGACAATTTTTATATACCAAAAGTTTGGGTATTTTTGTGAAATCTCCAAAAATAATTATATTTAAAAAATCCATCACATCGAGCGAAGAAATGATGATGTTGCTAAGCATCCAGCTCTTGACTTGGTGGTCCTGAATTCGAATCCGACCGGTTATTTTCTCAAACCTTTCGTGTAGTAATGAATATTACTGGAGTTTTTTCCCAACACCAAACCCTTATTTTAACACCTCGATACGTGGTTCGATCACCAAGTGATCATCTCCAAGAGGAAGATCAAACTGAAGGTATAGTCTGTATTGAAAAAATATAGTGTTGCCGATTCATATTGGCAGTCCTATTTTTCAAAGTGTACATAAATATGCCAACCATCTCATATTCTTATCGGTTTTGACATAGAATGAATTCTTTAACTTTTATCACTTCATTTCGCAAAATATGATTATTTCATGCATTTGAACAATGCAATTACGTATTACGTAGTTTCCTTATTTCTACTCTTAACCTTTAACTGCATTATACACGCACATATATAATCGGGTGTTAAAAAATAAACATGTTATTGCGTAAAATGTATTTCTAGTAAATAAATTTGAGGAATCGAAATCAATCTGATGACTGTGTCGAGAAAAAATATATATACGTATTGGGAAAATGAATATTTTGTAAAAAAAATTCGTACCATTCACCTCTTTCAACTTTCTCACGATCCGTAAATTCCTACTGGAAAACAACTGAATAAATTTCAATAATGGAAGAATTGAAGACAATGCCTTTCAAAAAAATGATAAATTGAAATNTATCCATTAAAAACTTTGTATTTCATCTTTCTTCGAATTTTTATTCGGTACTTTGATGAGCTGTCGCGAATGATAGGAAGCGTTGTCAAGAACTATTACACTATTCGCATACAAATTTAGAATCAATGTGTTTTCAAACCATTCATCGAAAATATTAGCTTCCATGTTCTTATGATAGTCAACATTGCAGTCCTCAAGATTTTTCCCACATAATTTCAAAGAATTCGGAACCCATCCTTCGCTTCTTCCGTAATGTACAATGATTAGTCGCGATCCTTTGTTTGCAGGCATGTTTGGCGTAAACATTCTCGAACCATCAGTCTACCCTTTCGTAACTGTGTCGTGAGTGTCATACCAAGTTTCATCCAAATAGAAAATTTGCCGTTGTTCTTGTCTATATTTATTTATTTGTTCTAAGTATTCGTTACGCAGTTCCACTTTTCTTTTTCTTTTCATAACTGCTTGACGTGTGTTTTCTGAAGAGTTTTGCCATAGCAGCGCACATTATGGCTGGAAGTATTCAATTTCTTCCTTATGATTTCAGGTGTAGGAATCTCACGACTTTTGTAACAGTCATATATTGTTTTTTAAATGATTTTATTAGATAAACATCTAAAGGTTTTGGCAATCCCGTATCAAATCGCGTCTTGCGTTCATAAGGTTTGTTTTTAACTATTTTACGTATAGTTAAAAAGGAGTTTCGGTCAAATCTGATGTTGCTTGTTTGTTTCTCTAGAAACCAAACTGGAGATGTAGATTCTTATATACATTGAAACATACTCTGTGTTTCAGTATTCAAGTGCATCTGAATCTTATTCACTGGTATCTCTTTTTCGCATTGTTCACAATCGCTATTGAAATCACTACACTGGAAAAAGTACGTGTTGTCATCATACTCGTTATTATTATTAGTACTTGTCCAAGGACGCCACATTTTGAACAGATAACAAAAATTTCAAGTAATTATAAGTGCACTCAAATCGCGGTCAGTTCCTGAACTGATCCCCGCATTTTCCTATTTCTATTCGTCACCGTGACATGACGCCAATTATCCAATACGAACCGCCAATTGTGCAGTCCACGTGGACTACTCCGAAGCAGGTTCACTTCTATGTATTGTTTTTTTTTGGCTTTTGAGAGTGCCGCCAATTTTAAATGTGCACAATATCGTTTACTTCGACTATACGAAATAATGTAATAATATAATATTTGCCGTTCGGCGATCAACTTTTGCCTCCACAGTCTAAATACTTTCCTCTTATAAGGTGAACCACAAATCTAGTAATTGACTGAAAATATTCACTTACTCGTATGTGAGTAGTACTCCAAAAAATATAGTATCTGCGCCTTATAATATAGAAGGTGCTGGGAGATTAAATAATTTTTCAAACTAAAAGTGTGTGCTTCTTGGTGATATGATTCCCAGTATAGAAAACGATCCACATCTTCCCTGTATTTTTGCAGATTTTCTTACTGATAAAAATCTTAAGAATGATGATATGGAATTTATGTATGACATTTTTTATACAATCCTGATACCTTCCCTTTAATATTGATACCAACTCGCTTTTGAATGATAAAATTTCTTCTAAAATATGACCATTTCAAATTCGGTATACATGGGTTTTACAAATTATTCACACGATTTCCAGTGGATTTCAAAAGGTGCAATTTATAAATCGGAATATCGATTAAAAACTGTTATTTATTCTTTTTTTAAATCCGCTTATCAGTTTCATCAAAAAAGGGCTCAGAGTCAGGAACGTCCAATCTGTGGATAATACATCCAACACTGTAATATATTATTGAAAAAATATTAGAGGTTATATCAACATCATTTTTTCCAGGTGTATTAGTTTTTCCTTGTCAAAGATGTGAATGATGGTTCCACTGGAGAAACAGTTTTTCTTGTTACAAGAACTATTTCGGATAGTATTATTGAGAGAAAAAGTGACGTATTTCTGTCCATATTTATGATATAATATTTATGAGTAAATGTTATTTATATATTTGTTAATTTGAGATTAATATAATTTCTTCGTTGTATTTGAATGTTTTTTTCGTTGATCAAATTCCTTATATTTGGAATATTTTTGTTTTTGTGTAAATCATAAGAATCTTTCATGTTGATTCATGGAAAATTTAAATTATTAGACTCCAAAAGTGATAAGTATTTCAGCGTGGTGCAGTCAAGTGTGAAAATGGGCAACACTTGTTTGCCTAAAATAGGAAACACCACATAGGCACGGAGTCAACAATAGGAGCCAACCGCAAATTTGTGGTTCCAGTTAGAAGACGTAGCATTCTCAGGCAACATCTAACATGACCACGTAGGCAGCTATAGCAACTTACGTGACATCCTGGTCCAGGATATAAATACAGATGATATAGATGTTATCGAGTGGGTATAATATAAATCGCAAATGGATCAATTCGTGGGCACAACACTCCAAAAAGGGAGGGGTGACAAACCGCGGACACGTGTTTCCGGCTATCGGCCTCATCAGCGCAGTGCAGCCAAGTGTGAAGATGGTCAACACTTGTTTGCCGAAAATAGGAAACAACACATACGCATGGAGTCACGGATGTTGCCTGGGAATGCTAGATCTTCTAATTGGAACCAAATCAAGAGTTTCTCAATGGACCAGATACCAGATGTTATAATTTGAAGAGTTTCATCAACAGTTACGTTCGTGGAAAAACTTTCATCGAAGCTCACTAGAATCATCATCATTAAATTTTCTAGTTTACGTATGAAATGGTAGTATATTTCTAAAAATCTGTTCCATTTCTAAATATCGGTTTCAAAATTTCTAAAAGGCATCTTACTAATTTTTGACGAGGTGATACAATTGAACTTACAATGAACATTGGGTTCAAGTATTTTTTGCCAAACCATAAAAATGACGAACGTTACTAAAATAAGTGATCAGTTGAGTGCTTTCTGTTTTGGTGAGATCTATAAAAATCAGAAGTGTGTTTTTTGAGAACAGTAGGTAGTAAAACATTTCAAATTGATAGTTTATTTGCTGCAAAAAGTGTTTGTCTACATCTGACCGGTTACATTCGCTCACTTCTCTCCAAATTGAAACTTCTGAGATATGTTTCTTATGATAATGCAAATTATCACAGGCTGAGGGTTATTATTCGGGAGCCGTCAGTTTTGGGTCGAGTCTCGATACTTCTCGCCGACGGAAAATACACGACGAGCGACATTTTATGCTAATTCGCGAAGAACTTCTGTGAAACAAACGTAACCTAAAACTTGATCGCATCATTTATCGAGATTTACTTTTTCGAATGCTCCAAAAGTATTGAACACCAATACACGAATATGGAGAATATTGTTTTCAAAGTTTTTCAAAGGCTTTAAGTTTCGATTTAAATGAAATTCCTATGGCTGTGACATGAATAGATTTATCTCTTCCGGTGACATTATGTTTTAATGTTATGAAATAAATGAGTGTTTCATCTTTCGATAGAAACGGATAAGTGTCTTCTCCCGAAACTTCGAAGTACACAATAGATGATGATAGTGTTCCATGTAAGTGACATTTTGTATCAAGTTTCCTATGAATGATATCTGTTTCAATTCCATAACGAATGTTTGTAATACAGACTAGATAAAAAAAGTTAATTTCTTGTTACTTTTTTGTCATTTTGTTGTATTTACAAATCTATTTGTGATATTTACCTTTTCTACTCTGTAACTGGGCCTTGGTCTGTAGAGTTTGTAAACGAATAAATAAATTACACGAAAAAAATTCTTACGAAATAAATACATGAAAACTGAATTATACAAAAACATTCACTTCTATTCAGTTTGTATTTCGAAGATTCGTTATGGAATTGAATCAGATATCAATCACAGGATTCCTACACAATATGGTAAATGAAAGAGATTAATTTTCACTTACACTGTCACCTTCACTGGTGACCATCCGATGTTTCGGAATAAGACACTTGCCTTATTGCATTTTCAGCACCAAGCTGGATAACATTACAAGATGAAGCACTCAATTCATTCATGAATTGTAATTTCATGCAATTCCATGCAATGTTGCCATCGTTTTCATTGATTTATCTTGATAGAGCAGCACTTTCTTGTTTCTTCAAACGGGTTCGTTTTTTTGCAATTTTGGCTTTCAAATGCTCCAATAACGCTATATAATATTCACTGTTGATAGTATTTCCCTTCCTAAGATAGTCGTTGAATATTAGATCACACACATCTCAAAATACCGAGGCCATAACCTTTCCTGCCAATTGTTGTGCTTTCGGGCGCTGATATAGAAACAGAAGTTAATATCGGACGTAGCACTCATGAAAGTGGCAAACCATAGACACGTGTTTCGTGCTTCTGGCCCATCATCAGTATGGTGCAGCCAAGTGTAAGGATGGGCAACACTTGTTTGGAAGTTTTCCAAATGTTTTGTTTTATAATGAGAAGTGAGCAAAAAATATTTTATGAGTGTTCGGGTCGTTTTCTACCTGCAATGGCGTTCGTTAAATATTTAATAAAAATGCTTATTCAAACTAATGAATGTGTATTTATTTTCATGTAATTAATACCATTTCAACATTTAATTCACAATATTTATAGGTATGCTTATTAAGACGATATTAGGCATATAAATTGATGGATGTAGTCATTACTACGTGGTAGGAAATCATAATGAAAGAAAGATAATTGGAACTTTCTATGTTTTGTACCACTTTTATTTGTAACTAACTTTACCGCAGTTTCGTCCTATATGGACATTTTCAAACTTATACATTAAACCAACAATGGTTGATTACATTCCAAATACAGTATACTGAAAATGAAATGTCCTTTAGACTAGGAAAAATGATTCGACGTTTTCCAACCATTCCTTGGCATGCAACCACAAGTTCCCGAATCTAAACGATACCGAAATTTTCCACTATGCAAGGAAGGGTTGCAAACTCAATTATTTGGAATCCTTGGAAATTCACAAGCATAAACATTGCGGGTGCAACCTGTTCAATGATCAAATCGATTTAGTGTACTCACCGGTTTTCAAATTAGATAGATAGATTTCTTTGTATAACTGCAATATTGCAACTGTTTTGTTACTGAAGCTGCTGGATTCTATTCAGAAAAGAGGCAACCTGATTGGAGACGCGAACATCACTTGCAACCTTGATAGTCTGGAACATCAAAGGAAGGTTGGAGATTTGTATCTCTTCTATAGATACTTTCACGGGAAGTGATAAAGTTACTTGGCACATTTGATTCCACCAAGAGCGGTACCATATCAGAAACACGCGACGAAGTGTGGTTGCTCATCGTTTTGAGGTTCAACTCAGCACATCTCGAACTCCACTGTTCCAGAACTCTTCCATTCGGAGAACTGCGTTTATGTGGAATAAACTTCCTGAGAACTTTTTCCAAATAGATTCAATCTCCTGCGATCCAAATCCAATGTGAATCGCTGCTTTTGCACTGGCACCGCCCTTAGAGTGCCTTAAGTATTTATCTGTAGTGCTTGTGTTTTGTCTTTAAAAAAGGACGAAAGTGAAATCACACATCAAGGATTTAAGAGAGTGCTGAAAATAGTGTCGAAATATCATGAGAAGTCTAACGAAAAATTATTGTGAATACTGAAAATAGGAACGTTTCGAAGTAGGTTCGCTTCATTTTTTTTTTATTTATTGTCATTTCTCTTTAATTTTTTTTTATTTGTATATAATAGACATTTCGCTTGTCGTTTAACCCATCATCAATACATTTCCATCTCTGGTCATAACCATTTTTTTTCTCACAAATCAGCGTTCTTATTCTTTCAAATGTTTATACTTATAATATTATTTCATGTCATTTTTCAACATTATTTCAAAGTTTTTCAATCAAACCCGATTATTTCGGTCCAGATCTTTTAACAATCAATTAATTCTGTATTCAGCAATTTTATCCCTCCAATTAACTAAAGATCGGGAGAAGGAAATATTAAGAGCAGATAGTTGTTGGTTCACAGATGGATCAAAAACACCTTCCGGTTCTGATGCAGGTGTTTTCAGTCGCAGACCCAGGACAGAGATATCAACCTACCTAGGAACCTATGCGACTGTATTTCAAGCGGAAATTTACTCTATTGAATTGTGTGCGGAGAGATTGGAAGAATCCAACCTCATACACAAGTCAATGAAAATTTGAAAGGTTTATATTTTGAGAAGTGACTAATTTTTGGAAAAAAAAGTTTTTGGCTTCCAACTACTCCATCTTGATACAGAAAAATGTGGGAATCTTCCAAAGAAAGGAAGGAAGTGAGCAATTTTTAAAAAAGTACCTGTATACATGTATCACTATGACAGAAAAATCAATGGACTTCCACATTAACAACAAAGAAAGTGTCAAAAATCATTTTATTTCAACAATGCAGCCTATGTACCTATCATAAGGTTATTATAAAACTACCACCAACAAACAATTTCCATTGCAGCTTAAATATAAGAAAATAAATTGAAAAAGTCCTCGACCGAGGACGAAACGTCTTTATATACATCAGAAAGAAAAAACTTTTATTCAACAAGAATCCAAACTCCAAGAAACCCCTCTCCAAAAAATGTATACATAGATGTGTAGATCATGCCGAAAACGATTCTCCTCAATAGAAAAACTTCACAGATTGTCTCTGGTCTGGATTCCTGGCCTTACTGGCCTGGAAGGCAATGAGGCTGCTGACTCCCTTGCAGAGTAGGGTGCTGCAAGCAGTTTCATCGAACCAGAACCTGTCATTGGAATCGCTTTAGGCTTTGCCAAACAAACATTGAACACTTGGATGGTAAGAAGATTTATGGACTTCCGGCAGAATCTTCCACGATTGGCTCACTCCAAGGCGTTTGTTCACCCTTCGAAGCTTGAGACCAAACAGTTGTTGGACTACAGTAGGGATGAACTACGATGTCCAACAGGCCTTCTTACAGGTTACTGTCATTTGAATCATCATATGCAGAGACTCGGAGGGTTGGAAGACAATTTGTGTTGCCTCTGTTTGGAAAATGGCGAAACAGTAGAGCATATACATTGTGCTTTTGCCTCGCTGGGATCCGAATCAGATGGTAAGAGTTTGGCAGAACCGTACTCTTACCACCTGATCTGAAAGACCACTCACCATACAAACTAATCGGCTTCGTTAAAAAGTTGGGTTTATTTGGTCGAGTGTGAATAAGTGTGAGCCACAATAAACCCTTGCGGGTTGCGGCGGAGGATCGAACAGACCCACTCACTTTGGACCTAACCAAACCTGCTGAAACTGTGAACATATGTTCAAGACGAGTAATAATAATAATAACTTCATTCATTCATTTGAAAGGTTTCACACAACATAA